AGTTGCTGAAACCATCCCAAAAGCCGACTATGAGAAGTCTTTCCAGAGTTAGCAGAATCGTCTGCAATGCTGCATGGGGATTAATGGAGAGTACCTTGAGGAAATAAAATAGTCATATCGATAATTATTATGAATTTCTGGAAATAAAGATCTACGCGCAAAACTTTTCAGCCACCCCACGTAACGTATAATGCCGTTGGCTTACGGTCGATAATAACTCGTTAAACAACAAATGCTCATCCTCCACAAAGGGGCACTTAATATTCCATGTCAATTCTTTGCACACACATGAACTTAACATGCATGTAAATTTTACTCGCATACGATTCTTTTGCTCTTTTCGCTCACATTGTAAGTGCTTACGGTTAATGAGCAATATGTTTATGGGTTAAATCACTTTTTACTATTTAGACACTTTATGACTTTTGGGATACAAGATGTCCCATTCTGTGAATCATAATAACAACGAGGAAGGTTAAAAGTTCAATAGTCGACTACTGAATCGTATTTTAACTGTCGTTCTGTCATTGTGTTCTAATAACTGGATATAGCAAAAAGCGTTGCATTATTAACGAGAAGACTGTCAATTTTAACAAATATTCTATTGCAATATAGGAACAACGTTACCGAATGAAGATGAAGATTGCGTATACGAGCGATGTTCAGGTACATAATCGGTACTGTAAGATAAGCTTTTTCCCCCGACTTCTAACAAATATTCTATATAGAAATATAGAACAATTATGGAAATAACGTTACAGAATGAAGACAAATATTGCGATATAAAGATAGCTACATCAATCGGTACAGTAAGACAAACCTTTTTTTTTTCAGACTTTTTGTGACGACGACAGACTCAAATAAAATGACAGTATTATGCCATTGAATGCCTGTTCGTTCACGCAAATGTATTCCACGAGATTGCAAATGTACGGCAATTGATAAGAATGTGTTGATCTCGCGCTTTACAGTTTATTTTGCAATTATGCGAATATTATTTTATCGTAGAATAATCTTATTTCCCGTTCCTCGGGAAATTAGTACGCAAAGCAAATTGCTCAGAATAATAGATAATGTATATAATGACGTTCTTCAATGGGTTTGTAGTTGAATGTTAGTAATTTTATTACTTTTTATTAGGTGCACATATAAGTATACGCTGGTTTTCAACGTTTAATCACGACTTTGACGTCCTGCTTTTAATGCCTCAATTCTGGTCATGAAATTAGGCTGGCGTTACTCCAGATTAAATCAGTAATAAACGCGCAGTTCTGTTCTATATTGTAAATCTTTCTACCAATTCCTATTCGTCGGTATTGGATCCTCGGCCTTCAACCCTAGTTGAACACGCGTCAAATATATAAAGAGTAAAATGTTGGTATTGCTTGCTTTACATAAAAGTGAACTAATTAACGTTGTTTCCTCGTCTCTTACCACTAAGCTTTTCTAGTATCTCGTTTTGCCTTTTTTTCGGTTTGGTAAGTTGGATCGAATCTTGCGCATCGTTCAAATCTTGATGAGGAATCGTTTCTATTATTGACCCATGTATATCTCTCTCGATTCCATTCTCGAAATCATCGTAATTAGAACTAAAGTTCTGCTGATGATGGAAGAAAGTATTGTGGACGAACTTTATTAACTTAATAATAAAGATTATAAAACCATTGTGATTTCGACGACGGGCCGTCGCTGAAATTTTGGTCATATGGTTTCGATTATTACAATTCTCTTAATAAAGGGCAAGCATTTATAAATCCAAATACAAACCTCGTTGGATAAAGCTGAAGCTTGGATCGGTGAAAGCCCAGCACATTCATGCCAAAAAGGAAAGATAATTTCGTTATTAGTAGCAATAAGAATCTAAGATCCCGACAGGCGTGAATATTCATGCTTTGTTCATCCCTCTTAGTCTCTGCCCCTACACTTCTATTTAATCATAATAATTACATAACGCACCGATATAATATTATTAATAAAGTTTACCCAGATTTCCAGGTTGTATTTTGCCAATGTAAATGATTTGTACAATTTGACTGTTTGATCGAAAATCTGAAAAGTAGATTTTATAATAATAAGGTTAATTTTTTCATATCATAATCGAATAATAAAAAAAAAAAATACTCCCTGCAGAAACAGAAAACATTAGCGTCATAAAAATTTTGACATATGACTGTAGATTATTTTACTACAGCCATAAGGGTATGTTGAGTATATTATAAAGCCAATGCACGGCCAGCGTTGAAGTGTATCCATCTGGTCGACCGCAATCTTCGCACAGGCTCCCGATGCTGGTAATAACGCCCTGCTTATCCAGATGAATAACCTCAGTTTTTTCTGCTCGAGTAAACCAGTCCGTGGCGTGTTTTAGGCAAATAGATGATCAATAAAAATAAAATTGATCGCACGTGATTTTTGTAACAAATATAAGTCATTGTAGTTTAAACATAAGACTAGATAGAGCAAGTTTACGTATTAATCGGTGATTGTTCGCTGTAAACATAAGATGAGAGTTCAAAATATAAATCTGCTATGGTGCAGAACGTCTATACTCGACAATCACGTGACTTGTTTTAATTTCAATTGACCAATAATATCGTATCGTAATATGATTACATCTTATTCTTGTCCTTTAAACCCTATAACTTTTTACACGGACATTATTTTTAAAATTAGACCGGTAACTTTGTAGAGCTTACTGTGAAGAACAAAAGTACCAGTCAGATTTAAAAATAATATCTGTGTAAAAAGTTGAAGGAGTTTAAAGATGCCTAATAATTCGAATAGTCCGTACATATTTAGTTCGATCTACCAATTTTAACCAATTATATGCTACTAATACGTTGTTTCAATTTCGATCAAACTTATGGATTTTAAAACCCTATTACTATAACTTTTTACACAGATGTTATTTTTAAATTTTGACCGGTAACTTAGTAGTAGTAGAGCTTACCGTGAAGAACAAAAGTACCGGTCAGATTTTAAAAATAATATCTGTGTAAAAGGTTGAAGGAGTTTAAAGATACCTAATATGTGATTGTCGAGTATAGACGTTCTGCACCATAGTAGTGTGATCACCAGAGTGTCAGCATTACTTGTAACACTGATCATTTTCGCCAAAAAAAGAAACGTGATAATACAAATTGCTAATTTAAAACAAACAAACAATTTCGAGTCCTGCGCATCAATTATAATTGGTTACACACATTATGCATGACAATATTGAAGATGCTAATTGTGGGCACGCAAGATATTGCAGTATTGTTTAAAGAAGTTTAGCATCTGTGAAATAAAAGTCTTCCCATTACCGAAATGTTTGGTGACTAATAACAGCCATAACGTCTTGGATACTGATGAAGTAAGCTAAAAAAAAGGAGCAAAAAAAAAAAGAATTAAAATAAAGACAGCGGTGCAGTTACCAGGTCGTAGCACGCACGCATTAAAAAATAAACATCCATATCGGGAAAATGGTTATTAATTAGTGACCTATCAAGTGATCGCTAGTGAATGGCTGAAACCTTCGTATACGTTATCCAAACTGTGGTGAACATTAACAACGCAAGTAATAAAAGGACCGCGCACTTCGCTCAAGGAATGATGGTTAGCAGATATTTAGTTCATACTAATTAATTCAATTTACAAAGTGCTTGTTACTCTGACAATTAACGTATCGACGACTCACTACGAAACAGAGCGTGTAAAAGTTAACAACCCTAACGCGCTTCCCAATCTTCATCATGCTTACGACAACCGGTCTTTCCCTCGCAACCCGTAAAAATATTCGTGACGAGTTCCAGAATAAAATTCCTGAACTGCAGAAAACTCTGAATAAACTAACAGGGAGCGATTATGAATTTCACGTCGATTTTGCTACATTACACGACGAATCCGCTAGAGCCAACTCTGCTCAGGCTCAATGGTACAAATCTAGTATGGGCCAGATTGCTTATCAATACTTCGAATCTCTTGTGGGCAACATTAAACGTGTCGCGGAGAACGACGATCTCGTCCGTAGCGATTTTATAAAAGTCACAAGCAAGCGTGAAATTCATTTAGTCAATGATAGCGAGATCAGTGGGGACAACGATTTAGAAATTGTCGACGGGGTAATTTACATAAAGGTGCGTCCGGGTCATCTTGGCTACAACGCATCGGTTGGTTATTACATCCTTAACTATGTGAAGGCCGACGACGAAGTCTTACCCTTGCGTACAAAGATAAATATTCGGGATGGATGGGAATTGAAGGTCCCTGGTGTCAAGAAAACTTTAAAGAAGGTTCTTGGCGAAGACTACGACTTTGTTGTTAACTTCGACGAAATTTATACCCAGGCTATTAAAGAGAGACCTGACTATTTGGATTGGTTTTCTTCCAGTTTAGGAGATATTGTTTACGGATATTTCGATTCTCTGAAAGGTTACATTGAAAGATACGCAGAGAAGGACGAATTAGTTCGAAACGAATTGCTTAAACTGACAACGACCAGAAAGATCCACCTTGTTTACGATAGCGATTTGGAGACCAATGAACTTCTTGAAGTCAAAGATGATGCATTTTGGATAAAGACAAGACCAAAGGACTTTGGTTCAAGCACCAGCATCGGATATTATTTGGTTGATCGTGTAAAGGACCCGGATTCTGCCTTGCCACTTCGAACCAAGGTGGATGTTCGTGACGAATGGGAACTCAAAGTCCCAGCGTTGAAGAAACGGCTAAAATCATCGCTTGGCGAAGATTATGGATTTGAGGTTGACTTGGATGAGATTTACTCGCAAATCATCAAAGCTAATAAAAGTCAACATGATTGGTATACGAGAAGTTTAGGGTCTATTACCTGCAGTTATTTTGATTCACTCGTTTCCAATATTGAGAAAACTGCGTCAGATGATTTGGCACGCAACGAGTTCCTTGAAGCAACTTCGTCACGTACATTTCATCTTGTGCTCGATACGGAAGTGGCGAGCTACAATGATGTCGAAATCGAGAATGGTGATCTCTACATCAAGGTCGAGCCCAAGAACTTTGGGTACAACGTATACGTTGGATCCGAAATTTCCAAAAAGATTAAAGCTCCCGGATCAGCGTTTCCACTTGAGACGAAGCTTAATGTTCGCAATGAATGGGAACTTAAGATTCCCGCTCTTAAAAAAAAGCTTAAGGAAGCAGTCGGTGAAGACTATGAGTTTGTTGTCAATTTTGAAGAACTGCTTAACGTTGGTATAGCGAAAAACGACAGTGACGCCAGTTGGTTGAAGAGGTCTTTGGGAGAAATCGTTTACCAATACTATGGCGCTCTAATTGAAAATGTAGTTAAGGTTGCAAAGGATGATGATCTCGTGCGAGAAGGTTTCCTTGAAGTGACTGGAGAAAAGAAAATTCACCTGGTCTATGATTCGGATTGTGAAAATAATTGTGATCTGCAGGTGGTTAATGATGCGATTTACATAAAGGTTAAACCCGGAAGCCTTGGCAGAGATAGTTACTATGTTGGACATAACATTGTTGATATATTGTAAACGGAATACATGGTCATGTTACTATAATGTGCATCTAATAGTTTAATTATATCGAGGATCACAATCTCATAATAAAATCCGATCACGAATGATTTGATTTCAAACGCTCACTGGTATTCTATTTAGGTACCGAAAAATTACTACATAAATGGAGAGAGCTTTGCTTTGTTAAGTGTTTTGTGGTAATGCTAAAGAATAGTTTTGCAGACCAAGTTCAACGTGAAAAACATCTTCCAGCGAATGCTTCATATTTAGTAAAGTGATACCAGTGTATCGGATCACGGGAATTCTTGAATATCAACAACAATCTGATCGTTCTTCGTGAGATACAAACCTTTCATTATTGGTCAAATATGTTGCTGACTCCACCACAGCACTTTGGGACTGTTGAGAAAGGAGTATACCGATCGGATATGCTTCGTCCGTCTCATTTTACCTTTACAAAGTCTCTCCGTCTCAAGACTGTTCTTGTATTATCACCTGAAGTAACCACACGAGCTGTTACCAATTTTCTGGAAGAAAATAACATCCGACTGGTGGGTTTTGTCTAGTAATTCATTTCCAAACAAGTGTTACATCTTTATAAATGCATGCAGGTTATAGGTACATTTAGGCCTGAAGGTCTGGAAGCCCAATATAGGTTGGCGACCGGTGAGCGAGGAGCTGATTAAAGATGGATTAGAGTTAGTCTTGGATGTTGCAAATCATCCTATTCTCGTTATGTGCACGTAAGTGACTAGCTTATGATGAAGTAGCATATATGCACATATAATAATAAGTGATATGATTATGTGGCGAAGGTCGGGCATCCATGAAACGGGAATATTTGTTGGCTGTCTACGCAAATTACAGGATTGGAACTTTTGTTCGATTGTAGTCGAGGTAGAGTGGTAATATGTATATTTACTTTAAGAATTCATACTCATGTGTGTGCTTATCCAATCAACACAAAACGATCGTTGGATTGGAAGTATCGTAGTTATGCTGGCAACAAAGCGAGATACGTCAACGAGCAGTTTATAGAGCTCTTTGATATGGATCTGATTACGTTTCCTAAGAACTTGCCTTATTGGTTTATTGAACAACGGAGGTTATTGGTAAGTGTCACGCTTGCTTTGGGTCGGTTACGTCATAACTGATTTCTCAAACGATGAATTAGGAGGAGGAACAAGAGGAAGAATTAACGCGGCCGTAGCTTACGCGAAAAACTATAGATGACAATGTGTTCGGCTTCACGTTGTATGCTTTTGCTCGTACGAACTATTAGTGAGGAGAGTTCGTTGTGTATACTGATTGTGCATACAACGGCATATCAACGACTATCGTATACGATAAAAGTCTTACGTCCACTTAATATTCATACGGAATGCGGATAGTGATTTGGAAGAATGATTACATGCATTTCGCTAATGATAAATCAATACCGCAAAATCCGCGAGAATAACAAGAAATGTAAGAGGGACAAATTAGAATAAACTTACTATTTGATTGTCGGTCTTTACAATGCTACCTGTGACTTTCATTATTTATTTGAAGATCCAAGGTATACTGGTATTATTACAGAGAATGAGTTGTCGATGTGAACAAAAGTCACGTCGATCCCTATGATGTGCGTATTGAGAAATTTTACTTTATAATAGTCATGGCGATATGAATTTCATTCTGCGGGACAAGTATTTTCTTGCAGGTATGTTGTCTGGCACGTGACTTAGCCATTGTGTCATTTTAACCCAAATATACTCATTTGGTCGTTGCACCAACTTGCTCTTTTGGATGCTCACCCAAAAACTCCACAAAACTATGCTCAAGATGGGAAATTTCCAAAGAAGCGTCACATCAATTTATTAAGCAATACTAGGCGGACATTGAAATGTTGCTACTCGCAATACTGGGGGTCCTATAATAAGTATCGCAGGTTGATAGTAAAGAAAACAACAAAATTTCACCTGCAGACATCTAAACATCTGTGTAAAATAAATGTCTGCACTCGTATCTCTTGAAAATAACCCTAAAGGTAAAAGGATATGTCCAATAAGAGTTAATTGGATGAAGAGAAATCGTTGAAGTGCCAGCAACTGACAAAATACTTTGTTTATCTGACTGAATTATCAAGAACATAATGTATAACTCGCATACTTCATTCGCCAGTAGTGATATGAAGTCCCGCAACAATCGATCATAATATACGCTAGGTTTTATGGCGTTCTTTGTTGCATTGAATATGGAGAGACTTTGAGCTTGACTGAGGAGCGGCGTCTTACATATCTCTCGGATGTTGTTGAATCAGCTTCTGATTAGTACAAAATGGGTTAGTTGATTTTTATCGCGCAAAGACAGCTATTAATGAATTTTGCTACGATTAACTCTTCCTATTTACTGACATTACACACGCTTCTATTTATCCATCTTGATCGATTAGGTAAAGACACTGTCGTGATTCTCTGTTTATTACTATGCGTTACTGGTTCGCTATTACTTATTCTTGTCATAATACTCTTAATAAACTTTCCTTGTTTTATTTAAAATTAATTTTCACCACAAAAAAGAACAATTAAATTATTACAAACCCAAATCTCTTAATTCACTCTCGGGGCCCATACTTGAGGATTGACCTAATTTATGCTCCATGTTTGATAATCGATCATGCATCACCAATAAAACGTCTTTGACCTGTGAAAGAAGATAAATTTTAATATGCATCATTTATCAATGAATACAAAGAGATTTCTTGTTCCATAAAGAAGCAATACATTTATTTACCATATCGACTGATAATTGAAGCATTCTTGCATTGGGCATACTTATAAGATCCGCTGGGATAGCTCCGTCATTGAGGTATTGTCCAAGTTGGTAGCTACATTGTGTTGGTAAATACCGTCAATGGGGATAGAGTCTCTACATAACCAAAAAAAACAGTGATGAGAGAAAACAATCACTCACGTTGTCACTTGATCTAAATCGATCATAATGAGATCACTGAAGAACGAAAAGAAGATTCTTATCAATAACGAGTACAACGCTTAAGGTTTACGTTTATTTTCTTGGACAAAACAGCCATCAATGACTGGTGAACATCTCACCGAATATAATCAAATTTGCGTGGTGTTGTATGATAGACTTTTCCAAGTACATTTCCACATCCATGACAATATGTCAACACATAGGTACTGTGCGGGAAATACGGGTCAATACATCAATCGATGGAAATGATAAAGATCACTTCGAAAGTATAGGAATACAAAATACCTCCCCAAATCAATACCACCCCTCGACCATTCGACCTCAGTGCCCACTCTGATATTAGCTGGTTTGGCTGATGAAATCAATCGTCAATAACGGATACTTTGACGCGTAAGTATACAATCCATTATTCAGTTAAAATTGTAAGCATATCCACCATGTAGAGCAACACTTCGTAAGTCTTTGTCTGCATTAACCCAAGCAAACGAGTCACCAACGATAAGTCTACATTTTATGCATTGAAATACTAATGGAGCGGTAATTTCCTCGGCGCCACAATCTTCAGTTGGTAAGTGCTGTTCTTGACGTTGGTGCTGTTGCATTTGTGGCATATAAGGATCCTAGGGACAGACATAGAGCGGTCAGCAAAGGTAGTGCAATAGACAAGTTCCTGCTCATTCGTGCAGAACATGTAATTCACCATGTATGTCTGTTATTTATAGTCGGAATTTGATTTTGGAAAAGACACCGCCTGACTTGCGCGTTCAACGATTGATCAAAGTTGAATCAGTGACTATGATTTGCATGAACATCCACTTTCGAAATAGACTCACCAGCTACTGTGGGTCAGGCAATTGACAAATGGTAGTTCTCATTATCATAATTATTATGCATCTGTGACTCTTATATTTAAAAACAATATTGATACACCGATAGCCGGAGACACATTGCGAGGTAATGGTTCAATTTATATGGAATTCAATCTCAGGTTCGACATCAGAATTATGAAAAGTCAAATTTGCAACCCGTATAATGCTAATACATCCTTGTAATATGTAATGCATCAAATGATGTTAAATGTGTTAGAAACAAGAATAACTTGGACGAGCGGGACGTATATTCAGCGAATGGAAGCTCAAAAATGAGTGTGAGTGACTTGGACCAAGTTTAGTTTATAGATTACTATATGCTCATGCAAAAAAAGTTACCAAACCCAGAAGAAGAGCTTTTTTCTAATCTTGTAAGGGAATCTGCATTTACAATCATCTTGCCAATTCTCTCACTTGTAGAGGTATTATATTGTATATTTTTTGCAATAGTAATAGACAAACAATCCCTGAGAGTTGTTATTATTTGCAAATATATTTATTCATTAACAATGTATAGAAAGAGAGTGATAATAAACAATAATGAATGTAGCCATATTATATGTGATCAAAGTGAAGATTTCTGTAACAACAACATCAGATATTAATATGACCCTCTACTACTACAAATGCTCTCTTCAGCATGACTGATCTACAATAATGAAACTGTGTTTTCATTCTGCTTAAGTATTAGGGTCTGCTTTAATATTAATTAATTATAAAAGTTTATTTAATATGGACTTATTGTAGTAATAAACAATGCGAAATTGTCAAAGTATTTTAAGAAAAATTCTATTTCTTAAATGCATTTATGTTAATCTTTTTTGTTTATACCTGCATGAAAGTTTTATTCCATTCTTTAAGACAATTTGCATATTTTTATTTTGTAAAGGATTTTATAATTTGATTGAGAATACCAATATTAATATTATTGTCATTCGTAAACAACTGTTTGTATCTTGAGTCTTGAAGAAATAAGTGGTTTGCTTAATGTAATATTAATATTTGGGAAGATTACAGAGTTCTTGCTATTATTATTACGGTTCTCATAATAAATCTATCATATGCTCGACTTGATAGTTTTGTTCTGATGTTCTTAGTGGATTGATCTCCACTTTTATTTTTTCAAATGCTTCTATATATTAATATATGGGGTAGACTGTAACAAAACCAGACAAAGTGAACATTTGATTATGTGACATAAATGAAGGACTGATTATGATGTGGCTGTAAAATTAACCAGTGTGACTGATGATGTTTTGAAAAGTGATAATGTGCATTCATAACTTATTATTATGGGCTTGTTAATTTTAATGTTCCTTTTATCATACCAGAATGTGATAATTATAAACCATAACAGGATTAATATAGAATTATCTCTATATATAAAACATTAATATGAAACTAATTTACATTAAATTCACCATAAAACCCAAGAATTACAGCACTATTAGAAGCAAACAAGGAGAAAAACTTGCTCCCTATGTTTTTAAAACCAATAATACCCAAACTCACCAGGAATATCTAGATCAAGAAAAAATTACTTATGAAGTTTACCAAGAGGAAAGGAAAATTATACCACCAACTCATAATAAACCAAGAAAGAAGCGGAAACTAGAGTAAATTTAACGTACAAGCTTCCCGCCAACACCTCCACTGATCGGGCGACCTGTCAACGAAAGATTTATAAGACTGCTCGATCATATTTTGCCGCCTTGACACAAATGCAATCAAAAAGTCAAACATGTAAAATAATTCAATTTTTCGTAAGCATAAAATTTATAATTTCGATTATTGAATACGCGCTTATGAAAATATAAATAGTAATAGCACCAGAGTAATTGCATGGGAGGAAAATACTCGGACCCAAAGCCATTGATGAGTATAACCTATTCTTTGGTCACTCTGGTGCAAATT